TCAATGATATTAGGTAACGCGTCTCAATCTCAATACACTCTACACCAGAGGTCAACCCTGCGTTGCGCAAATTCCAAAATTTTTACGACCCCCTTCCTTTTCGGAGGGTATCGGTACGACCCCCCCCCCCTATATAACTATTATGTCTTTCACATAATTTAATGCTCATCATTGATGTGTGGGCAGTCACCAACATGGAGAAGTGGTGGACCGTGGTCAATCCGCGCGCTTTGTCTCGCTCAGAGGAGGAATCGAGGCAACATGAAGTTTTATTCATTAAATAGAAGGAATTTCCAAATTTTTGCGTAAACCAATACATCATTTTAATCGTAAAGATTTCTACTTTCAGAAACCCACCAGGATTTTTTCGATCTCTCAATTTTCCTTACCTTATAATCTGAAAAACTAAACCTTGTAGCAATTACGTTGCAATCCAAACCCCTCCATTCAGAAGGTTATATTTTCTTTCAGAAGCGGTCTCATGAGAACCGGACACAAAAATTTAAAAACTAAAATAGTTTTCTTCCTAGAAGTCTTTGAAATGTTGCAAATTTTCATTTCTTCGGAAAATCGTCCCGATGTTCCATTTTTTTTCATTCATAATCTACTTCATAATCAGCTTTCGCATATGTTCAAAGCTAATTAGAAACTAGAAGATTAGCGCTTTCGAATCAGTGCTGAAACTTTTTCGAAAAATCACTCTTTCAAAAAATAGTCCCGTTGTTCCGTTTTTTCCCTTGATTTTTTCAAGCCATTTTCCTGAAACGCGACTTTGCAATCTTCAAACGTCCATAATTTCCTTCAAAATTCATATATAATGAGAAGCGGTAAAAAGTATTGAAGTCTACATGAAGAGTGCTTCACAACGTATGCAAAATTTTCCTGAAAAGCTTTCTTCTGCCAGAATTTCTGAGGTGGTCCCTAGAAGTCAATTAAGCAAGTTCTAACTTTCTTCCACTTAGATTTGTTCTGAAGACATCAAGATTCTTTTGAGGAAGTTTGTCTGGCCGCTGACAGATAAAGCGTTTTGAAGTGAAAACTCCTGCTCGGGGTACGCCGTGCACCTGTTTGTGGTAAGCAGTCGCACTAGCATATGAAAGTCCTCCACTCCCTGGAGACGGTGATAGTATCGCGATTGTAGTTGCGTTGTACTGTTACATGGAATCCTATTTTCTCAATGCATTTCACCGCGGGTCCCTGTGTATACGACCCCACCCTTTCGTTCGGCCAAATATGATCCTTTCGTTGCTTTTGGCGCAACCGGCAGTTCACCCTGCTCTATACCTTCGAGCCAGCTTCTATGAGCGAGAGGTTCATGGCATAAAACCAATAGAAGGAGAGGAGCCAGTCGCAGTTGGCCAAGGCTGGTGAGGTGATGACCTTCAGCAATGGCCTCGGTAAATAATAACCAATAAGGTTCTTATCGATATCATTCCTTTCAAAAGCGAATCCCTGGTGGGTGAAATTCATTTTGCTACGATATTCTCTCGAATGCGGTATGGGAGAGGATGAGAAGGAGCGACTATGCTTGAAGAAGGTGTGTATTCTGATCGTTCTTTGCATTTTTGATCCATGTAGGTATCAGGTCGCCTACCCTTTCGGACACTGTGCAACGATTAGCGTTTTACGAGATACGGGAACATCCCTATGGAGTGCTAGAAACTTGGGCGCTCCTTAAAGCAACAGTCCTAGCAAGGTGGGCGTGGTCGGGAACGGCTGTAATCCCTTCGGCCGATTCCCACTCTGGAGCTGTTCAGCCCCTAGTCAGAGACTTAAGAAGTGTGGCTGAACAATAAATCACAACAAGTCGCTAGGGAATCGGTCGAGGGGATTGCAATCGTTTCCAACCATGCCCACCCTGCTGGGACTGTTGCTGCAAGAGGGCCATCCAAAACAGGGCATTCAAAAAGCGCAGGTAGGTGACTCTAGGACCAAGCCTATGAGAGGGGAGAAACGCCAGGGAGAACAAAGGTCCTCATCCAGAATCTCTCATCCTTCCTGAGGCTCATGGTTAGTCGCAAGTCTGGTAATGGCACATTCACTTCAATGCCCCCCATGACGACATATGCGCCGAAACTCGTATTCAGAACTATAGCTTGGAAGATTTTTAAGGGTATGCGCATTACAACAGAAAAAGAAACTTATTCCGTCCAGGAGTTGGTAGGAGAAGGAACGTTCGGTGCAGTATACAGGTGAGAACAAATCTATGTGTTGGCAATTGCGACCTTTCCTGAAATATGAGTTCTTTAGTATCGCTATTCAACGCATGGCAGGCAGTATTGGGGACGTTTCTTGTATGAATTGTGAAGAAAGAAAAAATTTGAGTACTGAGGCAGAGATTTGTTGCTATCGCGATTTCAAGTACACCTCGTTGGATCCAAAAGGGTTGGCTGATTTCCCCCTAACTTTGGTGGTCTCTTCTCATTTGATCTTTTCTGCCAATCCGAACTACCGTTTGAAATGGATAGTATGCAAATGTGCCGTGTTTCTCCAAGGCTCGCATTTATACAGGGTCTTGGATCCTACTAGGCTATCCTCCTCTAGGTTCGCAGCTCTTATCGTTAGAGCTCACGACACAAGCAGAAATCAACCCCGACCCAAATCGAGGAATGTATGCTTCGCCAACACGTCCAGAGCAACGAAACCGACCCAGAAAGACGAAATTTTCTGATTGCTGGGATGATTTTAGACACCTAAAGCGAGGGATTACGATAAGATTGGGTTGGGTTCATAGTGGAAGTGGAGATGCTGAATAATGCCCCAGTGGCGAAAAAAGCAAAGAAATCCGTCAAGAAACGCGCAAAATGGGACCACTTTCTTTGCCCGTTGACCTCCGATAATGGACGAGCTAGCAACCAATTAAGAGGTCGTTCGCACATGTTAGGCCGAAAGCCGTGATGGGCGGGGCACATGCGGTGGAGGCGGAGCTCAGAAGGATTGGCAGCCTCAGGGCGCTGAACTAGCGCGCCTTTCAACACGAAAAGGATGCATCTCACTTCTTTTTGCCCCTGAAAACTGCTCCCACTAGTGCATATGCGGCCATGGCGATACAACTTAGTTACTGTGCATCACTCGCCAGCCCAGTGCGCTTGAGTTCAATTCATTGCAAACGTTAGGAAGTCTCCTGGTCGCACAGCTGTAGCTTTATTCAGGGTAGCCACATCGAAAAGCCCAACAAAAATTCACGCAATGAAGTGCGAAGTGAAGAAAGGAAAGGTGCAGGAATCTAAACTAGAAACGGAGGTTAGAATATTTGCCCGTAGGATTTCACAGAGTTATCTTTGACTTTGGAGAGTTGTATTGGAAGCGAATATGCTAGCTATCGCGGTCAAATACACAGGTTGTGTCACAAAAAGGTGGGGTTAGCTGGGTACCTTTTCCTCGCATCGAAATTTTCACAGTAAGTTGTACCAACATCCTCTTGATTGTGCTTCAGACTTGTGTCCACAGCAGTTTGACTCCTAGCGTAAAGGCAGAACATCTTTCAAGTGAACTAAATGATATGAGCTGATGAAATGTTCGAATATTGCAGTTGTGTAGCTTTAAGAAAAGGTGCGGCAATATCAAACCACTCGTTTCTAAGCCAGCTTCATTAACCCTTTGACGACAATGCGGATTTGCACGTAGCGTGCTCGTGGGACCACGCCTCTTTTTGGCGCGCCCAACTCTCGCACAAAATGGGGCAAAATTGTCCCTAAAAGCAGTTTTTCTATCAAAATTTTGACTATGACAATAAACAAAATATGACTGCAGTCTTAAGCTTTATGATCATGTATTGTTGGAATTAGAAGTGGAAGTTTGGAAAGAAATCTCGGATTTCAAAGGGATGGTGTTTGAAAACTCTAGAAATTCAAATGTACAGTAGAATTTTTGATATAGTTCAAACTCCTCCTTGTGTCTTAAGACTGTGAAAAGACA